CTCGATGGTGGCGGGTGCACTCAAACCAGGGACAGTATCGTCACCGTCACTCGAGTCTGAAACAATGGCAATCTCGTCCAAGGAGCTCTGATCAGAATCACAGGTCTCTAGTAGGCAGTTGACAATCGTGTTGTGCTGGGAGCTCACGCTAGCAGGTGGGGCTAGCGCCGGGTCAGCACGTGATTCGGAGGATGCACGTGATGGCCCCATTCCAACAAGCTGCCTCATCTTCTCGAGGGCACTCATTCGGATAGAAAATAACAACTATGTGGCTGCAAAGAAAATCGACAGAAAAACGGTCATCTAGGGGAGTCGGGTTCCCAACATATCGGTGGGGCGAAGCCTATTTCTTTCCGACCGGCGGAGGACGAGTGTGTAAGTGTAATGGATCAATGACGGTCGAGTTTTGGAGAGAAAACTGGCCCTCGCCCAATACGAAATGTTCAATTATGCGTCGGTGTAATGGCACGTGCTCTTTGAAGTCTGTAATTGAAGGTCTGCAGTCGTAATTGACTCGTACTTGCCTTTTCTTATCCATGGATGGTCCTTTGTTGACATCCATGAGGCTATACTATGTCTTACCCTGATGGAAGGTACATAGATATTGGATCATTGTAGCCGGGGCAACGTGCTCGAAATTCAAGTAATAAATCAAGGAAACTACCATCTATAAGATAAATCAGAGGCATTGAAAATGGGCATCTATGTCGTATCGCAAGTAACTTCATTGTATGCACATAGGCATTGGGTATTTTGGTTTCGTCAAGGCATATCCAACAGGGCTTCCAATCTCTGATCAGAGCCTGGAAGTGAGTAATCATAAGTTCCAGGGACACCGCTGGTTCTTTTCTGTTGTGCAATCCGACCCCCAACTCTGGCTACAAGCATGCGCATTTTCTCCAATTCTTTGACAAGTTCTCCATCCTTCGTAATAAGATTGGGTTGAATGTCTTTTTGGGGGTCTTCAAACGGCTCGAGTAATCGTCGAAGATGCTGCAACTGATCAAGGCGCCGTTGCCGTTGCTGCCGTTGACTGTCGAGGCTCACGAGCCGCTCACGGAGCTGCCGGTATCTGTGCGACTAGTGTAAGGCAGGTGGAACTTCAATCGGAAAAAACCCGGATGGGTCTGTAAACTGACCTTTCATGCTCCTCTTCGCTTGCTTCCTGGCTTTCCAAGTTGACAGGCATCTTCGTGATGTTTCTAAGCGATATAGTCAGTATTATCATAACTTCTATAGAGACGGATAGAATCTTACATCTCCCTTGACAAATCCGTTGTTTTTTCAATACCTCGAGAAAAAGCATCTCGACGGCGTGCCTCTTGACTGACCGACGACCAGTACAGGTTCGCAATCTGTTGAGCGACATGGTGTATCGCTTGGGAGGAATAAACAACGCGGTTGTGCTGCTTGGCAGCTGCATTTACTACAGGATTATGAGTATCATATTCATCTCGCATATATGGGCGCAATTCGTAGAGAATTATGCTGTTCAATTCTCGTGTTCTGACCTTTGTGTAGAACATCTTCGATCACCTTGTCACTCAGATCACCTTCCGTCGTTTCAGCAGCATAGTTTCGCCAGTCTTCGGGTAAATCGAGGCTCTCGGAGAAGATCCGGACTTGGCTCCAGATAAATGCAGACTTCAACTCAGATATAGTTCGAGTTGAATCCATCTCGAACACAATTCAAATGGTGTCAGAACGGTTACCATTGTTGAGTCTCCAAAAGTCCTGCGATCTACTCTGAGCGCATCCTTATCGATAAGACATCACGTGTCTCTCCACAAATGTGATTTTGCGGGATGGCCAATACCGATTTGGGTAATAAACCTCCATAAAACGAGAGATATGATTTAAAGGACATCGAAATGATAGTATAATCATTTGTAAACGGTCCTAGCATGGTAATAATGGAGTTTCTTAGTGCGGAGTATATCCTCGGTCTAGAGTAGTATGTACCTCGGCAATCTGACCGTCTTTTAGGTCCAGATCGCCTTGAAAGTAATTCAATTCGTTGCGATCAAGGTCATCGCAACCCATTTGGCTTACGAGGTAGACCTTAACTGCAAAATATCTTACAGTGAGCCCTACTATCGCCAGCAGCCTCATTATCATCCCAAGATGGCAGAGATCAAGCGGCCAGTGGGCCTACTGTTTGACATTGGAGGAGTGTGTGTAAGTCGGCCACTCGACCCGGAAGTTGAAGATATATATCCCTGACAATTCTCTAGGTTGTATCTCCATTCCAGGCTATTCTTGACTATGAAATTGCCCATAACATCCCACCAGGATGGGTCAATTTCAGTATCTCGCGAACATCGCCGAACGGTAGCTGGCACAAACTCGAGCGAGGCGACATCAAGATGGACGCCGACTTCTTCGCGGGGTTCAATGCGGACCTAAGAAACCCCGAGCTATGGACACAATTCCACCAACAACTTCAAAAGAAACAAGGCACAGGCGGCTCCACCATCCCTCCACTGCCGACAGTGGATGCAGAATGGCTGTTCTGGGAGATGATGCGGATATCTCGCACGCCAGACCGATATATGTACCCAGCTTTGAAGAAATTGAGAGAGTCGGGACAATTCCTGATGGGGGCTCTATCCAACACCGTTATATTCCCCGACGGACATGAATACAATAATGCATCCGACGTTAAGAATCAATTCGATTTCTTCATCTCGTCTGCGCACACAGGCCTCCGCAAACCAGACCCGAAAATTTACCAGGTGGCGTTACAGGAGATGGACACTTTAGCTAAGAGGCGAGGATTGGCCGGATCTAATCCCGACGATGTTGTGTTCTTCGATGACATTGGCGAGAACTTGAAGGGGGCGAAGAAAGCTGGCATGCGTACGGTCAAAGTCACACTTGGAAAGACCCAAGATGCGGTCAAAGAACTGGAGAAGATCACAGGCCTTCAGTTGCTGGACGAGGGCAAGGCACGATTGTGAGGCGTTATACATAGAAAGTTGGTTATTTCGAGAAGAATATCAGTATTATATGTAGAAAGGATGGAGGATGAGAATTTCAGAACATTTTCTTAGTTTTCCCAATTTTCCTGAATTTATTGTTCTTTTTTTCCCTTCTCCCATAATCAAGAAGATTGATGTTCCCACTCGTCGCCGACCTCAATTTCTGGCGGGGGATGCAGCCACGCTAAGCGAAATGCCGCACAAAGTCGACCCACGAAATTTCTCACTTCCTCTTCTTCGTCCATCCCCAGCGCCCCTCGACACCCTGTCAAAATGGTGAGTATCGCTGATGGCTGAAAAAGTCATTATGTATTCCCTTTGCATTTTATTCTCTCTCCGATTCCTATCGGAGCCGGGTCCCTGCAAGTTGCTTCGGCGTAATTTCTGAAGCGTTAATTGCTGACTCGCGATCTCGGTTACAGCCTTTCACCAAGACCGTCAAGAACAACGCCTACTTCAGGTAAGTTAAGATCTTTAATCCTTCGGAAATCTTTTGTGGCCTCTGTTTGCTGACTCTTCCAATTATAGTCGCTTCCAGACTAAGTACCGTCGCCGCCGCGAGGGTAAGACCGACTACTATGCTCGCAAGCGCCTGATCACCCAGGCCAAGAACAAGTACAACGCGCCCAAGTACCGCATGGTTGTTCGCTTCACCAACCGCGACATCGTCACCCAGATCGTCTACTCCGAGGTCACCGGTGACAAGGTCCTCGCCGCTGCCTACGCCCACGAGCTCCCCCGTTACGGCATCGACCAGGGTCTTACCAACTGGGCTGCCGCTTACGCCACTGGTCTGCTCCTTGCCCGTCGTGTCCTCAAGAAGCTCAACCTCGACGAGACGTTCAAGGGTGTCGAGGAGGCTGACGGTGAGCACACTCTCACCGAGGCCGTCGAGACCGAGGATGGCGAGCGCCGCCCCTTCAAGGCCTTCCTCGATGTTGGTCTCGTCCGCACCTCCACCGGTAACCGCGTCTTCGCTGCCATGAAGGGTGCCTCCGACGGTGGTATCTTCATCCCCCACTCTGACCGCCGTTTCCCCGGTTACGACATCGAGTCCGAGGAGCTCGACGCCGAGACCCTCAAGAACTACATCCACGGTAGCCACGTCTCCGAGTACATGGAGACCCTCGCCGATGAGGATGAGGAGCGCTACAAGTCCCAGTTCATCAAGTACATCGAGAACGAGATTGACGCTGGTGACCTCGAGGAGATCTACGCCGATGCCCACAAGGCCATCCGCGAGGACCCCTTCAAGGCCGATGAGAACGCTGGCCCCAAGAAGACCAAGGAGGAGTGGAAGGCCGAGTCCAAGAAGTACAAGGTCGCCCGTCTCACTCGCGAGCAGCGCAAGGCTCGCGTCGAGGAGAAGATCCGCCAGCTTGCTGCTTAAGCGTCTCGCTTCCTATCTTTCCGACCAAAAGTTCCTACAATATTTCAATTGAGGGAATGGGCTACTGCCGGCGTTTATTCATGTGATGTAGTTTTTGACGGATATGGCACATACCACTTTTTATTTTTATTATCGGAAGGGGGTTTTCCTTGGGAGCAATTAGTTCGGTGTTCATTTAAGGCAATTTTCTTTACTCAGTTCTAACTGCTCCCCTGCCAATGTCCATCTGTCTTGTTCCCTCATTTGCCTCCTTGCATTTGCCTGTAGCTGGGATCTGTAAAGCGTAGTTTAAGTTGTATGTTGTGCCTTGTAATTGCATCATGCCATTGACTTGTGCTAGTAAAAAGTAGCCTAATTAAAATTAGATCGACGCCATGCACAAGCGCCAACGCTCCTGTGATAAGTGGCCCCCAACCCCACGAGTGCATTGCCAGCGCAGCAACTTGGTGGCTGTTCAACCGGCAAGGATTCAAAAAGAAAAAAAGAAAAGAAAAAAAAGGACTAGACAGTTCCATTGTCTGCCATCAATCCCCGCTTTAAAAGGCCTTTTGGTCCCCGAAAAGATGAAATCACAATAATTTCACCCCTTGTATATATTCCCCATCTACATAGGCATATCCACATTCATCATGAGAAGATATCAACAACATACGCACGCAAGCTGGCACCGCGCCAACGCAGACAAATTCGATTGCCCTTGGTGCCAAACCATTCACCGACCAGAGAGCACAACATCTCAGAACCAACAGAACCAGCACAACCGCAAGCAATCCGCCAAGGGCTCAGACAATGGCAGAACCAGCAAAGCAAATGCTACTTCGACACCAGTCGGCCATCGGATAGCTCACGAGAGCTCTGACGTTCCTATCGAAGGCCAGGCAGCCGGTACCCCGCTCGAATCACAGACTCCAGGTTCAGCTCCGGACGCGAACAACGAAGAGACTCCAGGGCCGGAATCAGATTCAAATTACGCGCGGTACATTATGGGACGCACTGGAAGGCACGATGGCTTGAATACCGCGTCAGATACACCACGTCCGCCGCTTCCCGAGGAGTGGACGAAGGAAATTGAGGGTCGGGAGCATGGGTAGGGATTCCTATTTGATGGCTGTGGTTACGGCTGGTTCGTCCTTGTGCTGACGGGGCGTGTATAGTGCTGCGGCATGGAGTCCACCGACTGTGGAAGATTGGCGCTCTGGGATAGATACGTCCGGCGAGTTTCGAATGCCCGGTGACGAAAAGATTGGCTCTCCGGAGTTGAGCGTGAGGGAGTTGGAGGAGTCTTGAGAAAGACTTGGTTGAAATAGATCGAGTCGAAACATTCACATTAAACTACAGATATCAGGATTTTGCTCTGCTCAAGTTCTTACTGGACATAGTATTTCAGCGATCCATTGACTCCAGTCACCCCCCGTGACCTATCGTGATCAGCTCTTCGACGCACGATTTGAGTCACTGTTCTAGCTCTACATCTTCCAATCTTACACCGGCGAGAAGTGTATCCCTGCATCTTTGAAGATTGCGTTCCCTCTTAGCATGCGCTTCGTCAAATTTTCTTGCGGATGCTCCTGGTTTGGCTGTTATTGCTCGGTAGTTGAGCCAGTAGAGATCTGGCCTTCTCTCTATTGACTCTCGACTCTTTTTCTATAAGGAGCAGCAATGTCATTTCATCTTCGGGCGTCCATTTATCAGAAACATCCTCAGCCTCAGCCTGGGCCAGCGGCGAAGTATCAGCCTCCTCCAAGTCGGCGAGCATCATCCATGCACCTCTCTCCAATGCTTTGACGGCTTCTTGGCAGTCTTCCCTCGATTCCTGGCGTAGGATAGCTATAGCCTTGTCACGCCAATTGAGTATCTCTGCCCTTGCCTTTTCTAACAAGCGGAGTTCTTCCTCCATATCCGGCTGAGATTCGGCTTGTTCTCGCGCCCTTTCTAGCAGGCAGAGTCCTTCGGCGATATCCGGTGGCTGAGGTTGAGGTTGAGATTGAGACCGAGGGCTCTGTCTCCCCAGGTGAATCTGGAGTTGCGTACCAAGCCTTGTCACGAGCCTGGCGCATGTCTCCAACCGTCAGCTGGAATACCTTGCGATAGTCATCGGGTTCCTCCCAGAGGGTGCCAATCTTCCGCTGGTTGGCACGAAGCTTCTCCCGATAATTACCGATCTTCTGCGGGTGGCCACTCATTTTCGCATTCTCATAATCCCCGTCGAGCTCAACTTGCTCCAGGCGTGGATCGGGGTATTTCTTCTTAAGCTGCGCTCCATCGCTTCGTCTGATTCAAACAGGTCCCATTCCATCCGTCCTCGACTGTACTGCAATGCCAGGAGAAGGAAAGGGCCATCCTCGCCCATAACGCGAGATAGTAGAGACTTGGCCATTTCCCAATCCTTTTCAGCTCGGCTTCCTTGGCTTATCTTTCGAAGTCTTTCTTGGTTTGAATTTGAGCTTGGCGAGCCCTGTCCAATTCCTTGAGTTGTCGTTCAAGAACTGCCTTGTTTGAGATTTGAAGTAATCGAGATTTAGCCTCAACAAAGTCACACCGCATTGCTGCGTACTTGCCAATCGCGATGAGTTCTTGGTCTGAGTGTTTCGTAGAAGGAGGCTGAGAGTACATGTCCACAGAAGAGTGACCAGGAATGGTATGCTGGGACTGCGAGGCGAGAGATGGGGATGGCCGACGGGATCTAATCCTAAGTCCAGGGAGCGTCGTGTCGACGCGATCTATGTGGGCGATAAGTTCCCGCAAGAGTCGTTTGATTTGACCGTTGCGCACTTTGAGAGGATCCGCACGATATTGTCGGATCTTGGCCTGCATGTAACTCCTGACATGATTCGAATTCCAGCCATTCGAAAAGTGAGAAGCAACCTCGTCCCAATAAGTAGTATTGCCTCGTCCTCTGTGTACAAGGATTTGTGCGAAAGGCAGATTTGCAGAAGATCTAGCTGCTGAGGAAGGGGGTCAACAACGACCACGATGGGTTCGATTGATCCTGGGTTGGTGCGCTCGTGGTGGCACGTGGCTCGGGGAGTATCGGGGGCATTGAAGATGAAGATGGGCCAGGGCTAGGGCCTAGCAAGTTGAGAATTAGCATAGAGCAACCGTATGCAATATTTTTGTAATTGGCATACCAGTTAAGTCTATGACCTGGTCGACATATTGAAGAGGTATGAGATACGAGATCTGTGGAAGAAAGGCGAAGAGAGGAAAGTTGAAGAACGAGGTGCGTCTTACAAAATGGTGATTAGCTAGGTACAAAAGGTGACTATGATAAGATGATGTTTCCCTTACATTGGAAGGAGCTGGGATAGACTTAAGAGGCTCGTGGAATTCCAAGTCGAGATGGATTGGATATAAGTACTGGAGGGTATGCATACAGTTCAGACATATTCAAGTTCTTTTTTTCTCAATCCTTTTTATGTGACGTTACTATACGCGACGCGCCCATGTGTGTATACAACAGATTGCATGACAAAATTATTCCGGGAAGAAAAGTATTTGAAAGTAGAGTATCTTTGACCTCCGAATTGCCTTTTCTACGTAGTTCGTTTTGTCTTTGTAGGTTTAGCATCTTAACACAGCGGAGTGAGTAATTTACGCGAGGAGCAACCTGAGGCAGGCTTCCGATAGTACCATCGTGATATTCATTTCGCAATTAAATATGGGCATTGAGTTGGTTAAAGCATGAAAAATCCGACCTTATCGCTCCTTAACGCTTTCCGCTCGCCTTTATTCTTCTCTCTCGTTTATCCTGCTTCCAGCAAAGCTCGGAAGCCCATGCATAACCACAATCAAATCCGTGGCCTTTTCTGCACTCTGAGTTCCATGTCGCAAACGCCAAGGAGAGATACTTCATTCCGCCATCTTTATGAGCCCATCGAGGCAATAGAGAAATTGGAAAGCTACAGCGTGGGTGGCTATCACCCCATAGCAATCGGGGACCAATTTCACGATCGCTATCGGATTGTTCACAAGCTCGGCCACGGTACATACTCAACGATCTGGCTGGCTCAAGATCGAAAATTCAATAGATACGTCGCGGTCAAAGTGTGCACTGCAGATTCGAATCCACTCGAACTTGACGTACTCTCTGATCTTTCTAGCCCACAACAAAGCCAGGGTACCAGCCTAGGAAGGGCGATGATTCCTTCGGTATTGGATGCATTCAATATCCACGGTCCAAATGGGACGCACGCCTGCTATGTGACTACTCCAGCAAGGATCAATCATATAATCGCCTTTTTCAACTAAACGTTGCCCGCGCTTTAGTGGCGCGACTGGTGATCGCGGTCGAATACGTGCATTCCCAAGGGTTTGTTCACGGGAACCTGCACTATGGAAACGTTCTGCTCCAGCTGCCGTGCAACTTGAATCAATTGACTATCGAGGAGCTATATCGAAAGCACGGCGAGCCGCAGGTCGAGGCGATAAGAACGCTTTGATGGGAAACCCCTCCCACCAACTATCCCGTCACATGCTATCATACCGATCAAGCAAGCGATAAGCTCATTCTTCCGGAAACCAAAATTCTGCTCGCTGATTTTGGTGAGGCTTCTCCCCTGCTAAGCAACAAAACTACGAGTCTCACACCCCACTTATAAACCGCCCGCCGGAGGTTCGTTTCGAACCAGACAAGCCTATTTCCTTTCCGTCGGACATCTGGTCACTCGGTTGCTCTATATGGAATATCATTGCCCAAGGCCCACTTTTCGATCAGTATATTACAACCGAGGATGATTTAACCTGCGAGCAAGTCGATGCGCTTGGAATATTGCCTTCGGAATGGTGGTGCCAAGGGAGGGACGACGTGGTAGGTTCACTGAGGACAGGAAGCCGATAAATCGAAAGCCTTATCGATCGTGGGAAGACCGATTCGAGGGCAGTGTGCAGAAGCCTCGGCAGGCAGAAGGCATGCCGCCTATTGAACCGGCGGAGCGGGATGCCATACTTTCGATGCTGCGGTCAATGCTTGTATCCAGGCCCGAAAGTCGTGCAACTGCCAAGGATATTCTTGATTCCGAATGGATGGTGAAGTGGGCTCTGCCTGAGTTCGACAAGTGTCGACTAGCCGAGCAGAAGAACAGGTGATCGCCGTTCGTGGCGCGTGTGTGGGTGAGCAGGGTGGCATGCGTACCGACAGGGTGAGGCAATGGAGGACAATTTCTCTTGGGGGATTGTTTAGAAAATATTATCCAAACTCTGGACATGTTCGGTCTAAACCTCGGCTATATTGCTACAGATTACGTGTGTGGACATTTGCCCCCAGGCCACAAATTAACGTACAACTAGAGAATCACAGAGAACACCATGTAGGATTTCCAACCCAAAAGAGCTAAAGAACCGCCCGTACAAACGATTCTGCAGTTCTGGCGTCAATACGTCATTGACAGACTAGATGTCAAGGTAAGTATCATTACTAGCTTTTAGTAGGGCTATTGTAAAGTGCTCCTATGTACGTTCCCTGATATAATGTCTTTGCACCCTTAGTGTCGGAATGCGTTTTCCATCTGTCCTGCCGGTTCCTAGCTGGTGATAGGCAACCATAGATATCTGTCCTAGGACAGGAAAGGTATCTACAACGTCGTTCTTGTCTAAAAATACATTGTATCAAATGTTATGGAGTGCCCATTGCGAATCCCAATTTAGTCCAGCCAAGAAAATAGCACGTTGTAAAACGCTTCTGGGTCCTGGAGGAAGGGCGCATGGCCTAGACCGGGGAACATGTGGAGCTTGCAGTTGGGGATCATGGCTGCGGCAGCAGGACCGAGCTCGTCATAGTGGCCGAGTTGCGCAGCGACGGCAGGGCATGACCACGCTTTGCCAAGGGCCGAGATGTCGCTGGCTCCTACCAAGAGGTAGGTACGTGTCTGCAGGAGAGGCAGCTGGTAGATGATAGGCTGGCTGAGTAACGCGTCGGTGACAAGGGCCATCACGTACGAATACTCGGAGCCATAGTCGCTGGCGTAGATATCGGCTAGCATGTGAACCCAGGCATCATACTCAGGCTTCCAGGGGGCATTGGGGAAGTAGTTGGCGTGCTCATACGCCTTGAGAGTGGTAAAGTTCGACACAACTCCGTTCTTGTACGTCGCGTCGATTGACAGATAGGGCACACCCTTGGCTACCCAGTCCTCCAGGCCCAGGGGATTAACAAGGAAAAGCTGTTGAACGTTGTTGGGGTACATGAGGCCGTAGCGGGCGGCAATCATGCCACCCATCGAATGGCCGATTAAGGTGACTTGGTCAATGCCTAGCGCAGTGAGCAGGCTGTGGATGTTCAACGCCTGCTGTTGTAGGTTGTAAGAATAGCCTTGGGGCTTGCTCGATTTGCAGAAGCCAATGTCGTCGGGCAGGATCACTCGGTAGCCGGCGGCCGAGAGGTGGCGCGCCGTGTCGGACCATGTGACGCCGCAGAAGTTCCCGCCGTGCAGCAAGACGGCGGTCTTGTTATGCTTGTTGTCTTGTTTCGCGGGGATGTCCATGAACGCCATCGTAAGGTTCTGGCGCTGATTGTAGAATTTGAACAGCTTCACCGGCCAAGGGTAGGGGTAGCTGGATCCATATAGATCGGCTGGCACATGGCCATCGTAGATGGTGCCAATTGGATCGGGGTCGGACTGTGCGGAGACGACAGCTGTACACGACAGAATTGCCGAGAAGGCAGTGAAGACGGAGAAGATCTTCATGATGTGGTCGCAAAAGGACCAAGTTCTCTTAGTGACTGCCGTTTAAAGAGCAGGCTCTCTATCAATCGTATAAGAGAAGAACAGACTTATTTGTTCGCCTCCTGATGCAAACATATATATACCTTGGGGAATTATTTCAGTGTAAAATAAAAGCGGATCCCAGTGTAGCACCAGATCCAGGGGCACCGATGCGTTCCTACCTATATGTAGTTAGTTATCTATGTTGTAGGGGCTGACTACTCCGTACAGCCTTTCCCGTTTAGCTTTTCGACCAGACAGGGGCTTTTTAATTGCGATTTTATTCGCGAGAACTCGGTGATTTTAATCTGCAATTTCACTAGCACGTACTCGGTGTAGTCAGGGTACTGTTGGCTCCGGCGGGAGACGCTGTGCTGAGTAATTGCCCAGTTAACCCGCTTGGAAGCCCTGGAGCCCTGGAGACACCTCGTTCTTAATCCCTGGAACAGGTAAATTCTTCTTGGTAATATTTTGTTTAGAGTATTTGTTTCCCGTGGCTCGGTGTGTGCACGTGTACTTGACATCAATCGACTATCCAATTCTGATCCAAGTTGGCCCCCAACAATTCCAAACTAGCTTTAACACAATGCAGCGTGAAATTAATCAGGTCCCATCTTGCGACGCCCGGGCCTAGCCTCCAACTTTGACAAGGATGTAAGATGAAATAGGCAAAACCCCGATTAGCCCGCGCGATATTACTGGATGCTAAGAGGGCGAAAACTCCGGCGAATGGGACCTTTGCCAGTACCGATGTGATTCTGCTGCAGAACACGTTAACACGCTATCCCGCCGGTAATGCCGGCATGTGCTTATGCAGGGAAGCTCGGTGAGGGAAAAAAAATGAAGGTTAAAATGACGGCTAAAATGAAGGCTACATCACTTCTATACGGCGTTGAGATTAGTACATATGTATCGACCTTCGCCTCAATGGTTCCACAAGACCATACCTACCTCTAGGCGACCTCTAGCGATTTGCTATGTCCAAAAACATTCCAGGGCCAAGCAGGGCTTTGGAGATCCAAGTGCCATGTATTGTCTTTCTTGTCACCACGCCGGCCTTCGTGGCGATCCGACTGTGGTCCCGAGCTAAGTCTAAGTCGGGCCTGGGCTGGGACGACTGGACCATTTTGGCGTCTTCTGTGAGCTCTTCATCGTGAGATTGAACTGCCTCATGCAGGCCTAACACTGCTATAAACAGATATTTGCGGTTATCGTCATGGCCCTCATGCTGTCGTCCTGCGCCTATGGCTTTGGCCAACATATCGCGAATCTCACACCACCGAATAAGCTAATGACCCTGAAGGTACGCTGGCAATTGTCCTGAAGTCATCCACTTCCATGTTGGTTACTAACTTCGGTCCCGCCAGCTCTTTTTCGTTAGTCAAGCTTTCTACAAGCTCACCATGAACATGACAAAGATGTCCATCCTGATGTTATATCTGCGCATTTTTATCCAGCGTTGGTTCCGCATTACCTGTTATCTGCTATTGATTATCATCACCTCCTACATGGTGGCCGCCTTCTTCGCCTCCGTATTTCAATGCATACCAGTGGCCCGGGCCTGGAACAAGACCATCCCAGGATCGTGCATCAACATAACCACCAACTGGTACGCCAACGCCGGCTTCTCGATCGCTACCGACATCATCATATTGACGCTGCCGATGTATCCTCTCTACAAGTCGAAGATAGTGTTCAAGCGCAAAATCGCCCTGATGGGGGTGTTTGCCTTTGGCGCCTTGTGAGTCCGAAATACCTCGGTGTCGCAGACGAAGGCGTTAGCCCAACACTGACTCGGAGTTTTAAGTGTCGCCGTTACGAGCATTCTCCGGATGCGGACCCTGGACTTCTCATCAACCAGTCCTGACATTACCTGTAAGCGTCCTCATAACCGCCCCGGTTGTTCTTGCTCAAAAACTTACACATATCTCCACAGACGATATCGCCTCCTCGATATGGACGATAACCGAAGAAAACGTGGCGATTACCTGTGCCTGCCTGCCAATGATGTGGATGCCACTTGCTAGGCTCTTTCCCTCCTTCTTTTCCATAGATCACGGGACCGGCAGCTATGGAAGCTCGGCCGCCAGGAACTCAGAACCTAAAACCACCTCCCGGCCTCGAAGCAGCTGGACCCCGCTTCATAGGTACCCTGATACGAAGGGCAGCATCAGTATGAACCAAGCCAGCAAGTCCCAAACCCGCCCTTCGGAGGATAGCACGGACCAGATCCTCCCGTCTGGCCAAGGCACCGAAGCCCAGTACCCAAATGCAACGGGCATCACGAAGGTCACTGAATATGATGTCTCTTATTCTAATGCGAAAATAGGTCTCTAGGTATGAATAGGGATAATTACTCGTGAGCTCCTAGGTATACGAAGACTGATATGTTTATCTTACTCTAGGTTCTCGCTAAATGCGTTCAATGAATTAGCTATTCGGACCAAATGAGTGAAAACATAATAGAAATCCGGGGGAAACGTCGTTTCTAGCCAGGTTAATGGTCATTTTCAAGGACGATTCCACAGGTCCTTATAACTAGTCTGGTTTAAATCTCATAATTTCGGCGCCCTCAAAAGTTCCTTAGAAGGCTCCTAGATGCGGCAACTTCTGTTTACCTTAATGGGAAGACCCTCTACATCAACACGGGCCTAACTAATGTATACAGGCACTATATGGGCAGGTAACTAAACAGAGATGCCATTCGTTGCAGGGCCAAATATGGCCTAAATCCTAAGGCATCAATATTTCCTAGAATAGCTAGCGTTTTGAGTGCGTCATGGCCAACTAACCTTGGAAGTCTCATTCTTTGTTGATGGCCGTAAGGCCACGATGTTTGTTTCCCGGACCTTATATAGTCATCTCAATTCCTCAGCCTCTTCCTCAGTCACTTCCCCAGTCTCCCAGAATACAGACTCCTCCCCCTTGCTTCGACTTGACCAGCTTCTTATATCGCAATGCAGCTATATCTAATTCGCCATGCAGAAACAGTGCACAATGTTGGGAAAATCCTGTAGGAATCAGCTTCTGAGTCACCGTTATCACTTGGACTGACTTTCTGTGACAGGGCGGGCACCACTGACTCGGCACTGACCAACCATGGGATGGCTCAGATCAATTGCCTTGCTCAGCATTTCGTCTCTAATTCAACTAAATTTACGGCTGTATTCTCTTCAGACTTAAGCCGAGCAAGAATCACAGCCGAGGGTGTCTGCCATGCACAGGCTTCCCCCTCCGATGAAACACCCTTGCGGCCCATATTGACTCGAAATTTAAGAGAGAAAGAGCATGGATCGATGGAAGGCAGCTTCTGGAACGCCTCTCCTCCATCCCCAAGGCCGCGAGACTGGGTCATACCCGAGTCAAAACCATCGATGAGAAAGAGAGCCGAAAAATTTTTCGACAAACACCTGCTCCCACTATTGATGCGTGACCCACACAGCCGACAAAACATCGCAGTCGTTGCCCACGGCATTATCCTCCAAGAGCTATGGTCATATTTGATTGAGATCTTCACTCCCCCGGACACTGAGGTTGCTCCCGGAATTTGTGACACCAACATGACTACGCTTCATAGGAAGCCTGTCTGGTCGAACACCGGCTATATGACGATACTGATTACCCCGAACCCGACAGAAAGGAACGTGCTGCCTACTGTCATACCAAACTTCGCATTCGTTGTTCTGGGCATTGACGACAAGAGACATCTTGCCGACCTCCATCGTACTAGGGGTGGCGTTGGAACCGCTGCGCATGACGTGAAACAAAAAAAGATTGATCAATTTTTTCAAAAAGCGACCGTTTAACAGAGTCTGTGGCTATGTACAAGTTCAACCATCATCACAATGGCTGAAAGATCTAATCTGTGTGAAACACTTCGTCTAAGGGCTTCCACCACCCTGGACCCTCAGCACTGCTCACGGCTCCGGGAATAGGGCTCTCCTAATACCGGGTCCTTCAGGTTAGTGTCTATCTCTCGGTTCTTGTTATATCCTCAACATACCTGCATCTCATCAGTCATGGCCCACCACTCTCTCATCTTCGGCAATGACGCCATGTTCTTCATATCAGCTTCGATGTCTGTGCCGATATACTTGAAAGTCGCGAATAGAGTCCGATCGTTATCGAAGTAGATTGAGTCTGCAGCGGCGCAAATATACCAAGTCAGCCAGCTTGGACATAGAGTATATTTATATATGAATATCTTTGACAGTAAACGTACAGTCTACGATGTTGCACTCCTTGATCTTTTGGAGGATCTCAGGCCAGACATTGGCGTGACACTCCTTGTATGCCGCGACAGCGGAGGGCTTAAGGTGGACGATTTGGGCGAAGCGGCGGGGCTGAGGTTGAGCCATGGCGAGATGTTTAATATAAAATATTTGGAATCGGAGCAGAATGTAAGAGATCATTAAGTTGCCTTTTATTATGCCCCTCTCGCTTTAGCTTCAACCCGTACTCGGAGTGCGCTAACCCGAGAAGCTTGGCATATGTCCACAGGCTGGATTGAACCAATACTGTAGATCCATGCATACAATATGTAGACTACTGGTACATACTACATGGATAGGTGTAGATAACTTGTAGTTGACTTTAAAGACAAAAGGATATATTCTCAAAACGAAAGAATCTATACACACTATACACATAGACCTCAATTATTTGAGGTGTGACACCCAGTGACATAGTCGACCTTCATCGTGCAGCCATTGTCAAAGACCGCATGACCGCACGCGGAATCGCAGTCTTCGAAAATATGATCGTAGGCCCTGAAATAACGGTTAGCATCAATGACTTTGGGTGGGCGCTCGAATGAAACTTACGCCTGCATGGTAGTGCCCTTGACTTCACAATTGTCACCCTCGATGAAGACGCCACAGCCTCCAGAAGCGTGCTTGCCATCCGTATAACACTCTCCGCTGTTTCTACCATTTGTGGTACTAGATTTGAACTACGTCAGAATTTCAGACCAAAAAAGGTCGGAGAGGATCTAACTTACCCGTAAATTGTAGAACCTCTGATGTAGCTCTTGGCAACATCACAGAATCCATGCAAATTGCTCACGAAAAGATGACACATGGTTTGGCCATGACCACATGTTGTTGAAGATTCAGATGGGGTGTACGGGTTGGGTGACGTCGTTGTGGCAGTGTCAGTAGTTGTGGTAGGGTCAGCAGTGGTGGTAGGCGTGGTAGTAGTGGCATATAACGAGGAGAACTCCTCGTCAATCTGACTAGCCTCACTCGTAATAGCGGCGTCATCGACAGCCCAACTAGAATACCTCCAAGCGGGTTTCTTAGAAATGGAAGTGCTAATCGTGGAAGTCGTTGTTGTGGGCGTGGCTTCACAGGCGGTGATGGTCTGGCACCGAGTGGAAGTATCGGTGGTGTAAGTCGAAGAGACCATGGAAGAGGAGATATACTCTGTACAGGTATCTGCTTCCTGGGATTCGCAGTCATCATCCTCGGACTCGCATCCCTCACCGGTACATTTGCCGTCCTGGCAGTTCGGACCCGAGCAGCTGATCTTACGGCAATCAGGACCGGTACATTCTCCCGTCTGCGGATTACAGTCAAGGCCGATACAGCCCAGAGAGACGCAGTCAGGCCCAGTACAACGCCCTTGGCCATTGCAGTCATCACCTTCGCATCCGTGAGTTTCGCAGTCATCACCGTCACATTCACCCGTATCGAGGCAATCGGTACCAATACAACCGGTGGGCGTGCAGTCGGCTCCGAGACAGGTATGGGATGACTTATCGCACTCAGGGCCTTTGCAGTTCTTTTTGACACATAGGGGCCCTGTACATTTTGTGTTTTCGCAATCAGGACCACTACACGGGGAGTGTGATGGAGGCTTGGGGTCCGCAGGATCCTTCCAGTTGTTGTTAGAGATCGGGTCGGTACAGTCCAGCAAGCATGGCTTGTCACAGAAAGACTTGCACTTAGTGCCACAGTTCGAAGTGCAAGTAGGGGCCGGAGGACCCCCTTGACTCCATGTGATGACTGGAGTGGGAACATCAACAGGCAAAGAGGTTGTTGACCAGGGCCAGGGGGGAGGGAAGAAGGTCCGGTCCTCGGTGCCTGTATGTGTGATGGGCGTCCCATTGACAGAGCTGTGAGACTGAGAGCTGGGCATATCCCTGAATGTGATAGGATCCAGCGAGAAGCTAGGGAATAGTGTCTTGGTGCTCTCCGTACCCTCAGTTTTGGTGATATTCCAGTTCCACCATGGGATGCTGCTCGCGGTAATAGGGGGAATTGAGAAGGTGGTTGTCTGGATAGTACGGGCGATAGTCGTTGTAACAGTAGGCTTCCCTGAGACTGTCACAGTCTTGGTTGTGGTCCAGGCGACTTCAATAGGAGTCACCAAAGGACCAACTGAGAAGGTCGTTGGTGATGGCAATAGGGAGGGCGCAACAATAATATTCACCGGAGCGATAGCTGTTGCGGTGTCCGAATCGCCCTTTGGATCGACGATAGAGCCATCGACATAGAAGTCGCCAGTGCCAGAATCACTGCCGTCTGTACTTGGCCCATCCATCGAGGTGTCTTTAGGGTCAAGGTCGTTGGGGTTACCAGAGGAACCCGGGCCACCCTCGTCGATTGTCCAAGCGAAGAGCCCTCCGAGACACTTGCCATTCGCAAAGTCAGCCTTTTGCTTTAATGTTTTGGAATTATCAAATGAAACCCTATAATTAGTTAGCTCTTGATATTTGAAGCCCCTTGTTAAAAGACGTACCATTGGCTAGTGTCCCACGTCATCCAGTTAACAGCGGCCTGTTCGTTGTAAACCACCTCAGGGTTATACTGCTTGATAACTCGATTGATCTCATAGTCGGTCAGAATTCCGGTGGTATCAGTACATTCTCCTGCTTTTCCTCCACCTGCAGAGTCCTCGGTCTTGTCAAATGCACACCCGGGGGTTGTGCAGGCAGGATCTTTTAGTGTGAACGAGCGCCCATAGAATCCAAGACCAAGCATCACCTTGGCAGGGTCAACGTCGTTTCGCCACAAGAGATCCAAACCAGACTTGATTTCTAAGTGATATAGTTAATAAAGGAGAATAATCTTTAGAGGCATAAGGTCATCTTACCAGTGAGATTGGTGTGGGGGTTAACCACCGACTCCGTCCACTTAGTATTGCCATCCCACGTGCCGTGGATATCATAAGCCATGAAGTTGAAATAGTCGACATATTTGGACAAGGCCTTGACATCGAATCCCTTCAAGTACCCTAAAAGAAGAGCCGTTAGCCAGATTTCACTATGGTGAGGATTCACATGGAAATACCGTACAGTAGGAAGTGGGTAGAGTTGCGGTAATACTGTAGGTGCCATCGCAAGCTTCCTTTAGCTCTTTCATGAAGGTCACAAAGTTCTCTCTGTCTTCATCACGACCACCTAACGCAGCTAACAGTTAGCAGGCATTCCCCAGATCGCTTAAAAAGGAAACTAAATTAATATCCTACCTCGATCCTCAGCAGTAGGGTACTCCCAGTCAATATCAATTCCATCAAAGCCCCTCTCTTCCATGAATGAGACAGCAGAGTCAATGAAAGATTTGCGGAGTCCAGCGAAGCGAACCATATCGGAGAAAGGCTCGCCTCCAAGATCCCAGCCACCGACAGAGATAAGTGTCTTAAGCGAGGGTTTCTTTTTCTTCAGATCCATTAATTGTTCAATGTATTCATCGTCATGGTCGTACACGGTTTCGATAGTAGAGTCGCCGATGTTAATGCCAGCAAAGCTGTAAAAGAGGTGCTGAAAGAGAGAATCATGTCAATACAGAATATTGTCCGAGGAACAAAGAGATATTCACTTACTGTCCATGGGCTGACATCGACAGCTGAAGGGGTCATGGTATCGCACGAGCGCTGATAATTCCAAGCTTCGAAGTAACCTCCATAGACCTGTTTGCTAGAGGTTCCCGAGCACGACCTACGTTCACGTTAGCTCCAAGCTCACTCAGTGGGCAAACATGGGGACTAGGATAAGGAGATCATACGGCTGTTTAACATCATCGCATCCACTTTGGCAACCCTTGCCACAGAATTCCTCAGTGGTACCACAGAATCTTGATATTCACACGTTAGCACATGAAGAATTTCAGATGGCGGACAATTCTTACCCAAATTCAGAGCAGCAAACATTCAAGGGACAAGTTGAGTTGGCAACAGGAGCGTATTCTATTGATATGATCGTAAGTTTGGGACTTTCCAATGGCACTCTCGAGGGCTATGGACTTACTTCCACACTCAGCCTGAGCATCACAATTGGATATACAAACGTCATCACCACAAAAGTTAGGACCGAAGCCGCAGTAGCCTTCTTTACTGCAGCAGCCTGTGTCACACCTCTTGTCTTTCGAACAAGTGCCACTTGTACCTTTCGCACCCAGGACTAGATCACAGAATAGCGGCAACAAGGCAATAGCCTTGACCGCAGAAAGGATATACATCCTTCTCCTCAAAAGAACGACAATATATTTGAAAAGGAGTGTAGTATTAAGTAAAAGAATGTGTGAGGCAAGGTCATGCGAAACGGCGAAATGCCTGGGATCTTCGTATATAAGTCACTTCCCAGTAGACTAAACTAAAGTCATCCTACACTGTTAATACAATTGTGAAGGTATTTTAGTACGGTATCACAATGGAAATACCAAGACGCATGGAGCCTCATGTCTTGGCTTGGTATTACAGCTTTATCTTTCAATTCGGGGCCTGTCGATCTTTATTTCCTGAGCATTGATCATTGGGGGCCGAAAGGGAGGGTTGAACTCGAGCTGTTACATGACATTTTTATATATCGACCCGCACAATCTTATTCGTGCTCGCGGAGACTTTTGGCCCCCAGCATCCACAATTTTTTACATCAAGCAATGCCAACCATCCGAAACTAGCAGCTACCCGAATGGGTCCGCTTCTTTCTCCTTGGGAATAACTTGGTATACTCCGTACCCGAGGTAAGCCTTGCGAGCTAGCTTAGCATATGCACACCTGCCTATTTTGTGTAAATGAACTTTGGGGGCCAACACTCCCCAATCCTGATTCCTACGCCTTCTCGTCCCCCAATTATTCACTATTATTTCAAAGCCGATAACCATGAAGCTGACCACTGCCGTTCTTGCCGCTTTGCTTGCGCCGGGAACAAGTGCATGGAAAGTGGGGGATGCTGCCACCGGCATGACCGACCCCGACGTTACAACAAAATGTACTCAGTGGGCGAATGATATTACTTCCGACGATAGCTGCAAGGCTCTACAGATCGAATTCCACATCGACTTTTTGCAATTGCACGAATGGGTGAGCATTCAATTTCCCCGTTGGCCTCCGAGCTTCATCCAGAAGCTGAAACAACTGACTTCTCTGTAGAATCCATCGCTGCTTAAAGACCATTGCGTCCTCATTGAGGATTGGAGCTACTGTGTCGCCAGCTCAAGTAAAACCAACAGCCAGGCGGCAAATATGGGGACCAATGCACCTACACTCGATTCCACTTCCACGGAATCCACTACCGTTCCCCCAAAGTCCACTGCTACTCCGGCGAGCAGTTCAAGTGATTCGAATAGCACTGCTACTAGCAAGGCCTCGGGCACTACTGGCCCAGCGTCTACCACTCAAACAGGTGGTGCGGTGAGCTCTACACCTATTCAGGGTAAATTCGCGATTGCGGCATTGTTCCTTGGTGTCTCTGCACTGCTGTAGTGCCCTCAAGATAAAGTGGAAGATATTTTGGCCTACATGTATCTTAAACAATGTATCTGGGGTCTAATATGTTTGTAATTTGATCTTAATGCGAGAATTTCGTCTATCGGAGAGCCCGAAATATTGTAAGACCAATATATTATTGATTGTGAATCCCATAGGAAATCAATTATATTGTCCCACACCCCTTGTTGATTACCAGACATTCTTCCGAGCTCATAGTACACATACATAGTTCTCTTCGAGCAATATAGAACAATCAAGTGTAAAAATCTCTTCCCCTAACAATTTAACACCACGAGCAGCCTGACCAGGGGACGATGCTGAAACGTCAGAAACAGTAGAAAAGCCTTGTGAGCCTTATCCGCCAGCATTCTTTCGCCTAAGCAGATGATGTGATGTCTACTGTCGTGTTAGACCAGCTGCATGATATATAATTTGGAAACCAGCGAATGGAACTTACCGGGTGAACCAACACAGACGTTGGTTTCGCGCCACAGATTAGTGCATTTAGACCCAGTGGCAGGGTTCAATTGATAGAACTGAGCCGGTGTAAGGTTATATTCGCTTCGGATCGAGTTACAGTCATCATTTCCGGTTACAAAGTGCCACTTGTTGCCTAATTCCCATATTGTCAGTAAATTAGAACATTCAGAGAAGGTACCATGAGTTTAGCCACTCACAGTCACTGGGGACTCCGGTCTGGGTTGGGAAAGCCGACGGAGAACTTGACGTGGTAGAAGCAGTCGTTGTACCAGTTGTTGTCGCAGATGGTGTGGTTCCTGCTATTGTGTTAGACTAGCTATATAATATTGAATTTAGAAACGGGGGAAGCTCACCAGGTGCGCCTACGCAGACATTAGTTTTGCGCCACAGGTTGGTGCATTTAGGCCCAGTGGCAGGGTTCAAGTGGTAGAACTGAGCCGGTGTAAGGTTATATTCGTCTCGGATCGAGTCGCAATCGTCACTTCCAGACACAAAGTGCCACTTGTTGCCTGGATTCCAAATTGTGAGCAAATTAAGCTTGAATTCAGGAAATATGCCATTAGTTTAGAGACTCACAATTGCCGACGACCCCGGTCTGTGTTGGGAAAGCTGACGTTGAAGAGGCAGAACCGGATGGGGTCTTTGCAGCAATACAGACAAAGTCGCCATTCTTCAGACCTTTGCAGCCATGTGAGATGGCACTATTGATGTTAGACGAGCCGTGACCTTAACGCGTGCAATGGTTGACTTACGGATTCCAGCTGTAAAATTGACTCAGAGTAAAAGTCATATACTGATCTTGAATACTGTTGCAAGAGTCACCGTTCTGTACCAGGTGGTACTTGGTGCAGGATTTGGCAATGCCACTCTGGGTTGGAGCAGAGGTACCACTATAACTGAGGGTACCAGCTGGAGTGTTGGCGGCACTACTTGCCGAAGTACCGGTTACCGCCGGGCCAGAAACACAGTAACTCCATTTAGGGACCAAAACACAGTAGTCTGGCTGCAATGAGGGATTCTAAAGGTACATTAGTTAACGGTAACTGACACAAAGACAACAGAGCTCGGGGGAGCTTACCCAGGAGACCAGTTGGTCTTGGGTGATACTAAAGAACTCTTCTACCGCCTCGCAGGTATCAGTGGACTGGACATCATTCACCCAGTAGTCACACCCGACGGCGACATTAGGGTCTTTTGTGCCAGTCGCTGAGGGACCATTGGTCCATCCGCCTTGGGCGGCAGCAGAAGCCACACGTAGTAGCAGCGAATGGATGAACAGTTTCGAACTAAGCATTGTGCTGGATAGGTGTTGATGTTGTTGCAAAGGAGTATACAAGGAAGAAGTTGCAATCCACCCGGCTTAGGAAATAGCACTTAGGATAGAGCAGGTATCTTCGCATGAATTGTGGGAATGGCAGGGAACTATTACATATTCCTATTAGTCGTGCCATTATTATATTGATTTGTATAGTTACCTATGGGGCCGGTATTCACTTCGGTTAAACCCGCTGTATCATATAGAAAAATAACGATACATATTCATCACTCGGTCTACCTACCTAATGAGGTATGCACAGGGGAAGCTAGTCGACCCAGCATTTTCGGACAATGTCCCATTTTTTTCTACTAAATGCCTTTATACGTTATTTTGAAGTTAATACTATATGATACAGTATCAATTGTGAATATAGTGGATCCATGTTGTATAGATGTGGACCGGGTAACTTGTGGATTTGGGGGCCAACCCGTGAAAGACCCACTGTGGACTGTTCAGCCTCTGCATAATATTATACCCATGCAGGTACAGAGTATTCCATAAGTCGCATTTAACAGTTTTAGCCGAAGTGGACCTGAAGTGGTTGTCTGACCGGCTCCCCCAAAACCCGTCCGATGTAGCCTCAACACTGCACGTGCGTTGTCATCTCCTGGCCCCCTCGAGGCTATGCTTTCCTATGGAGCATGAGAGGTTTGAAATCGGTACGGACGATCCTCATCAATACACGGGTAACAAACATATTGAATTTCAAAGGGGCCAAATACACGCAGAATGTATTGTCGGAATTGAATCTGACCCTAGCCAAGGGCCGTCTGTAGGACCCGACCATTGAGTAGGTTGTCAAGTCGACTTTTATGAAGTGCAGATTTCCTTCTTCCATATTGTATGCCTAACAATTTTCACTCTTTTTGGACACTCCTTTTAAACACGTTCTTTTGGTACCCATTTAATTATACACTCTTTTCACCATGCTGTTGGTCTTCGGTCCTTCAAGCAGGGCCTGGCTGGTCATCATCGGCCACCTCTTTCTTCTAGCAAATATCTTACAGCTTGCGCAATGTTTCCCGGTTGACTTCAATCAGAATGATTCTTTCGTTAGTGTACAAAGGCGACAGACTGGCGAAGTAACAACGACCACGCCTGGGAAGTATACGGAGATTCGTTTGCAGCCTTCGTGTGCCGGGAAAGAAGACTTTTTCAAGGATGTCTTTGATAACATGGCGAAAATCGTGAGTCTTTCCTGGAGTCCGTCTTTACCTTCCGTCATGCTCTTGTCTTCAACTCTTCCAGATTATCACGCAGCTATGCTGACGTATTTAGTAGACATCCGACGCGAAATCTTCAGTTGCAACCATTGAGAAAGCGATGGCGAAGGATCGCAAGAAGATGCTCCCGACTGAGAAGTCATACATGGATCTCTACCAAAAGCTCTATGGAATCTTTGATCCAAAAGACAAGAACAAGGTCAAGAACGCCAAAGCCAAACTGAAGGTCATCTCCAGTACGTCAGCTCGGAATTAAGACGAATCTTCGTGGACCAGGGACTGATAGATATGTTTAGATTTTGTCGGAAAATACGCGCAAGGTCTTTCTGGGAATCAGTTCAAACTTGATGTTTATTGCGATCCGAAAGATTGGGTGACCGATGGCAAGAAGGATGCAGCTGGCGATTGTGAGTTATATCCCCGGCTTACTTTGATTATTGGGTGAAATGCTTCTAACCTTCGACTTATAACAGATACATTCACACTACCCAACGACCCATTGTCAGTGCCAACTGATGGTAACGATCTTGACATTTGTAAAGAGCCGGATGGATCGGAAAAGACCCTCGCTTTCGTCACCACTAGCAAGGACAACAGCAAAGACTACATGACAGTCTGTCCCTTGGCCTGGACGTCGTGGGCAGGTGATACTCTCGTAACCAAGAAAGGAGAGGGACTGAAGAATCTCCTGGGCAAGACCATCGACAACACCTTGAATAAGACACCCGAGAGTCTGTTTCTGCACGAGCTAACTCACGCAGAGGCATATTTTGGCGAAAATGCTCTTGGTAAGCCGAACCGATTACCTGTTTTCTCTTTTCTATCGCGTAAATTGAAGAGATTACTAACACCAATGTTGCAACGTGCAGATGATAGGCAGTTGGGCAAGGAGGGGGAGCACGATCCCCCTGCTTATGAGTGGGTGGATATCACAAAACTCGCTGAGGAAGACAAGGACAAGACGAAGATCTCAGATATCCGTCCACTCGACAATGCCGGTAGGATCCTCACTCGATAACCATTTAGACATTTTTTCCCCTAGCTAATCAGTCTGCATAGATACCATGATGTATTTCCTTGCTGGTAAGCACCGCTTAAGGCCAATGGAAGCACTCACGTTGATCGTTAAACTAATCTTCGATTTTAATTCTAGGTCTCTACCTAAGCGAGAAAGCCAATTGGGGAGATGGAATTTGCCGGGATCCTAAGACGGTGAAATAAAGGCTTATATGAGAGGACATTCTCCCTGGTGGCCGGAGAGATTGGTGACAGAAGAAAGCCATTTTGGAAACTTGCCTGAAGATATGTCTATACACATTCTGAACTCTTCTCATACAACAGCAATTCTCTGCAACCAAGAGACTTTGCTTTGCAGTTTTGATCGAATCTCCCAAACTGAGATTCCTTTACCATATGCATGATTGCTGTGCCTAAATTGAGTCATGGTGGAATAAATCCTTGTTTTCTTCCAAGCTTTTATTATATCTGATACTATTTGAGATCGCCCGACAAAGGATGAAAAATAAAAAGACCTAGCTAGAGGCCGATCGAGCCAGACAGGTCCTCGCATCAGGAATTCATATCAGGGGCAATCCCATGCTCGAGACAAATATCGATAATGGGTTGAAACCCGGATTTCATCGCCATAGAAGCGACAGATGTCCTACGAAATCTTGCAGATAGACTTGCCCCATTCTCTACCAGGAATCGAAATTCAACAGCCTTTTCATATTGCAATGCTGTCATTAATGCCTGGCTTTGTGTTCCTGCGTCTGCGCCGTACTGGATCAGCATCTTAATCAGACGATAGCTGTCCTCCCGACAAAGCGCAAGCATGATCGGTGACTGTGACCGTGCTTGTCTTCCCGCTTGTGCGATTTTGGATGGAGAAGCCTCCTTATTTGGGTCGGCTCCATTTTCCAATAATAGTTCAGCCGTACTGATGGGGTGTGGAGCAGATTCGAGTGCACCGCATAGAGGGGAACGACTCTCTAGGGGCAGTTGAAAGTTGACATCGGCGCCCTGGGAGAGAAGGTATCGTATACGATCTTCATCGCCGCGTTCTGCAGCGTATTTCAACATCCAGTAGAGATCTAACTCAGGGCTTGTCTTGCTGTAACGGTATTGGCGTAGCTCTTTAAACAGGTAGTCTTCAACACTGTGATGACCATTTGATGCCGCTTGGGCAAGTGGGTATCTACCCTCGGTGTCGTGTGACAGTTGTTTTGCGCCTTGGTCTATGAGTGCCTGAGTCAGAGCAAAATGACCCTCCCGTGCTGCGAGAGCAAGAGGCGTTAAGCCGTCACGGTCTCGGTAGTTGATGTCGACACCTAGATCAAGAAGACGCTGCACGATCTTGAGGTGTCCTTGAGCTGCTGCATAGGAGATCGGATGCTCCTTCATCTTTTCTATTTGGATTGGCCAACGTATCCGTGTTCCACTTTTTTGTACGGAGCAGGCGAGATATTGAGAGTCCCATTGGACGTTTGCCCCGGCGTCGAGAAGATGCTGAAGGGTACTATCAGATCCGGAAGAGGCCGCCCAGTACAGCGCAGATGCGTCGTGCTGCTGTACATTAAGTTGATAAAGGTAGTTGTTAAGTGTGCTGTAGAGATAAGAGTGGCATTGAAGAAGTGCATTCAAATCGCGACATTCTGAAGCTTCTGCGATGCTAATGAGGAGCTCGGGGGGTAGTTTGAGGATAGACATGGTGAATGACAGGGAGAGAGAGCGAGAGAAAGAAGCATGTCATAATAAATGTGACTCGCGCGATGATCTTAGGTGGAAATCCATAGGTATTTTGGCCCCACTGTCACTTGGGGGGATTTCCCTGTATTTTATTTCCGATGATTTCGCTGTATGTATGGCTCGACTGCAGGTTAAATACTCATGAAAATCATCCTAGCCATGGTCAAGACGAGGTAAAAAGTACCTGCAATTTTCATGCACCAGTACGTTCTGCTATATCAGCAAAAAGCCCTAAGCGGCAATAAGAAGGATGGTCGTCAGATGGGTTTTAGTTGTTGGCGCTAGTGTCACAGAATAGATGGCATAAGTCACGTGCATGAGTTCGACTTAAAACAGAAAGGTGTTAGTGGAGTTTATGCCTCAGGCAGAAACCCTTCAGATAAGGTAGATAATTGGGAGCTTGTCCTCTCAATACAACTCTCTGCCAGGATTGAGGCACTAACGGGCAAAAGTGGCTGATCAAAGTGTGGGCCTCCCATGTATAGGATGCTGCATAGGGCATATTGTAGCAAGAACCTCTATACACAGGCCCTGGTCAGATACTCGGTTCGGCTATACAGTTTAGTCGATATCTATATTAGGAAGGCGGAGAGGTACCCAGTATCCACTCTGTATTTCTTGGCGCTATGAGCATCTCACCAAATGCTCCTGGTCGGCCCCGAGATATCTCTGGACTATCTGCATTTTTATACCTCACCAGCCAACGCACTACTACCTATGGCTGACGAAACAGAAATCCAAGGGACAACCTCCTCGAGCGATGTCCCTCCTGGCCACGAAAGCACCGCCTTTAAGTCTCAACCAGACCCAATGCCCCCTGTGATTAGGGGTTGGCATGCCCGACCAGCCCCCTGGGAGGTGCAATTCGGCCCTCCAGCCAGGCCAACGCATAGTCAAACCACCAGTCCAACTGGTCAGTTTTCTAGTCAAACTGCTGGTAAAATTACTAGAGCCTCGCCCCTTACAACTGAAGATGATCTCAACCTACTCCGCATTGCCGTTAACTATAAAGATCGGTTCACTACCATGAAGGGTAATTCCGTTCTTTATGAGGCGATTGCAGAGGTATGGAGGGCCGATACTGGGCGGAAAATCAGTCACCAAACAGTCCATAAGCACATCACTGATAGGCTAAAAGAGCACTCCGCTGTACTTGCTATACCGGAAACTAGCCGTCCTAAAATGAACGCTACTGAAGCTGCTATTTTTGACTATGCCAATGAGATATACGAAGTGCTACAAGAGAACACAGTAGCAGAGGAACGACGAAGAGATCTCGCCGCTCGTGCAGATACTAAGGCTCGTGCATATACCGACTCTGTGCGGGATGATATAGCTGATGAATTAGTGCAACGAGCAAGGGATAAAAGGCCAAGGAATCCGGAAAATTCTGGCCAGGAAGGTATGTTACAACTAACATATTTATACCGTGTTTTACTAATTATAATATAGAAAGTGAGCGTCCAACAGCCCGGCCACGAACGCTACCTCCCTCGCCATCGCCTTCCTCGCCTTCACTACAAACAGAAATGGCCTTGTTTCTTAGTATGATGAATAGTCGAGCAGCTATTGAGGCCTCAACCGGGGCTAAAAAGGAAGATATCACTAGGCTAGAAGCTCGAATTGACAGCATGGCTACTACTATGGAGGGGATGATGGCTTTGCTCAGAACCCTTACGCAAAGGCTGCCAAGGGCAAGTTAAGCTTCATTTCTTTTATAACCCGCTTTACAATTGTATTGTAAACTGTATATAAACTGGACGCATTGAAAAATATTAAATTGAAATTGGTATCCGTAATTAAAAGCACATTATAAGATCTCGCTCATGATTGCATCTGACTCTTAGGAACAGGACGAATCCAGGAAACGGCCAAATTAGCCGCCAAACATATAACACCGATGATCCACATCGCTCGCTCGTAGCTTGAGCCGTTGTATCTGAAGATAATAGCAAAGACGATTCCCCCGATATTACCGAAGCCACCAACAATTCCAGAAACAATGCCTAGTGACAAAATGTTAGCTTCAAAACGCGACCCAGGGAGTAAAAACAGGACCGCATACCATTAGCAAAAGGGTGCACATGAGGCACAAGAGCAAAGTTGGCACCATTAGATGCGTCAAGGAAGAAAGCCATCCCCGCGACAAGACCGAACATAGCCGCCTCGTTGGACGGGTTCGATAATCCGATCGCAAGCTGGAAGGCCCCCATCGAGACTCCCAAAAAGGTGATCAGAAGCTTTTTAGACCAGACATTGTCTGTGTACCGGTAAACCAAGTCTCCAAATAGACCACCTGCCGGTCGGAAGACGACGTTCAGCAGGCCGAACATGGCAGCCCACTGTCCCGATTTTGTTTGGTCCATGTGTGGGAAGTTCTTTTTGTAGTAAGATCCCAGAATCGAGTTGATTGCTAGTTCTGCGCCAAACGAGCAGGCGTATGGGATTGCCAGAGCCATAGTGGATAGACTCAGGGCCACGCGCAGCGCTTCACGGCGAGTTGGGGACACGACTGTCTCTTGTTTGAAGATGTCCATCTGACCCATTGTTGATGCTTCAGCATCTACCACTCGTGGGGACTGGGCGCCTTTCTTTTCGATATCGGTTGTGGCAGCGTTGTAGGGGGTCGTCATTCCGCTAGAAAACGTGCCGGAGTTGATGTCAACGATGTTGCCGTCTGCGACCACGGTGGTGTTACTTGACTCTTTCGCCCAGAGGTGTCTCTCAGACCACTTTCCGGTTGGTGTATCCTCGCAGAGGAGCAACATGCATAAGGCGATAGCGGTGATGATGATGAAAGGAACGACGTAGGCGATGCGCCATGCTTTGTGGGAAGGGAGACCGCGGGATTGGACGAGAGAGTCGTAGATGGCGGGCATCAAAAAGCTACGTCCGTTAGTATATTCATAGGATCCAAGGGGGAAAAGGTGGACACCTACTATGTGATTCCTCCGCCTGCATTACCCCAGCCTCCAGCGAGGGAATTGGCAGTACCGACAATACTTTTGTCGAAGAAGCCAGTGCACCAGACCTGGCATGGGACGAATGTTCCTCCCAAAATTCCAACGAAAAATCGTAGGGCTATCAGACCCTTGGGCCCAGTGACGAGACCGGCCATGGCTGTGGGAATGGCTCCGCATAGGAGTAGTCCCACGAAGACCAAGCGTGGGCCATAGCGGTCACAGAGTGGCCCTGCAATAAATCGGACGAGTAGACTGTAGCGGTCAGAAAAGTGTCTCTTTGATCGATTGCATACCCTAGTACTCACGTTGCTAAGAGGGCGACGATGTTTGAGTTGGCAACATCGTCTTGTGTCATATTCAAGTCCTTTTTGATGGTCACGCTCAACTAAAAAGACGGGTGGGATTAGACACTGTGTCTTTTTCGTGTATCAAACATGTTGCAATTGTATCATGAACTTACCAGCGGTGGAAAGGCGTACCACGATAGGAATGCCACCAAGAAACCAAGCCATGAGAAGAAGAACACCCGTCCATACTGATCGAAAGGGTTCAATACGGGAATAGATTTTGCTTTGCGGGTACTTGGGTTGATTTCCGGTGATACAAAGAGCTGTCTAACAAAGGTTGTTGCCATTTTGGCAGGCTCTTTGTGTAGTCGAGCGTTGAGGTAGAGGTAGGCTCGGGAGTTGATATTCTAATAAAAAGGCCCAGATAACTTGATATAGGCTTGTTGATTAGACAAGAGTTATTTTGAAGATTTAGAAGAAAGATGGAAGTTGAGAAATGAATAGACCTTCGCATCTATATAGATATTCACAATGCTCTGTTGCTGAAGCATATATCTCTGATGCATCTTGTCATGACACATGGAACAACAATCAGTCTGATATCCCCGCTGGATGTCAGGTTGTCCAATTAGCGCAGATAGCTACGTGCTGTCAATTGAAAACGGTTAGTCAAGTGTTATCATTGAGTATATCTCACAGAGCTGATTTGATACAATGCAAGGACAAGGCTGCAGCCAGGATCATCCGAACCTTGAATGCTAAACTTACTTCTTGCCCCAGAATTTCTCCCTGGAACTTCCGCAGTACCCTGCACTGAAATTCTGATAGAGATAAGGTATGGATTATAACCTATAACAGTCTAGGATGTATACTATGCCGAGTGCCAAGATGAAAGGAAAACCATGAACATATGAATCAATTCACTTAATGTAACTCCGCGGACCTTCAATTGATGATTTAAAGCTTATCGTCACGGGTCTAAGGTGGGCCTTTAACTCAATGGTGGCGAGGAATTCATATCGTTGATAAACGTGAGCCTCCTCATTGGATGCCAAGCCTACCGCGATAGGGACCGAAGAGCGAACTCAGCCCAGCGGGTCTTTACGTTGAAGCGTGTCGATCTCAGTTCCGCGGAAATACTTAAATCTAACTGTGGTTCCAGTCAATTGGTTCCGGGGCTCTGGGGTGAACAGCCTAAGATCTCGTACCGTCCTCGGGTCCCAAATTAGGGCTTCTTTCTTTAGCGCAGTAAACGAAGGACTACGGAACAATCGGTCTAGACGGATCTTTTCCTATTTTCCCCGGGATTTCTATTATGCGTGAAGTTTTATGCCCACAATATACTGCGATAAGAGATTTGTGACTGTGCGAGAACCTTGGAAATAATCAAGGTTTACACAGCCGCTGAATATATCCATGGATGTATGGATTTGAACGGACAATCTGACTAATCAATGCGCACCCTGGGAGGACCTGTGTCAAAGACTTGCTCGCCTATAGGCGAAAATCCAAACATGGAGCCTGCGCTTTCCTCCGTGAGGCCATCCATAATGGCAGCGATTCGGGCGAGGTGACCGGATTCGCAGCCCATTCCAGTGCCCGTTCCTGCCATTTAGCAAATTGGATCACCTTCTCGACACCACTAGCGAAATTGATCAGGTTGGAAAAGTCGTTGAAGCTGGGCGCACGCGAGTTAACAAGGTCGTACTCCCGACCAGTTTGTGCCGGAACACTGGTCAATGTGGAAGTGGTTTTGCACAGGTAACCGACCGGTAGCACTGCCGAGAGACAGGCAATGATTCACGGGAAGCTACCCATCTCAATACCACCAACGATCAAGTTGTACAGGACATCACCGCGAACACGTCGGAAGTGGCCAGAACAAGTGGATGCCGTGACCAATGGCAATCGGTACGCCGAGCCATCTTGCCTCGTCGGCTTCATGTTTGGAACGCGGCTGGGAACGGGACATTGAGGACATCTACCTAGGTATCTCACTAGCCGAGCTGTAGTAGTGGGTTTGACTTGCTGGAGAAAGCTATCCATCTTCCTAGAACCAATGAGTGCTAGTTAGTTCCTTGATTTGTCGCAGATTCTCGATGTTGTCCTGGACTTGTTGTGAAGGGCGTACGCAAATTAGAGGACGGGCCCCCGTCCACGGGTAGGCCCAGCTTGAGTCATCAGCTGGGATTTGGTTCTGCTTTCTGAAAACATAGGCGAACAAGTGCACAGCGACAATGGTTTGTGATACTTTCCATTGGTGCGTGATTGGGCACCGCAGACAATTTGATCCCAGTGCTTCGCATGATACGCCTCAATCCAAGCGGTCTTCCAGTAACTTTGGTTGTTTTTCTTACGTTTCCAGCGCCCGTACACGAGATGTCCATTACCACCTTTGATGTGGTAAACAACCTCATGAATTGTGGCTGGTAGGGTCCTCCACTCCCCCAAGAATGTCACGCTCGAGTACTACTTTTCATTTATTCACCATCGTGATCCTATCGAGGTTATTGATGGTCTGCCAAATATACTTGCAACGTTTGACGTAGTGCCTCGCGGTCTCATCCGGCTCGTCGGGCATGGACCCTGGGTCCCTCGTCTCGAGAGTTCGGGGTGGTCGCCGTCCTGGTGACCAGTTGGCGACGAGCAGACCGGTAAGTTATCCGGTCTGACCTATATTTTGTAGTGGCTGAGAGAACTAAGGTGAAGAGGGAGGACCTCGGGAGCCTCAGGTGGTATTATGAATATCAACCGGGGCGTAGTATCCTCGCGAGGAAGGTGCAGCTGTCACCTTGAAATCGAAAAGGCAACGCCGGTGAAGACCAGCCAGATAATCAACACCTCTATAACGTCGGAATTTCGAAGAGAGAAAGCGCATTCTCACGAGGAAGGCACGACTATCACCTCACCTTAACAAGGAAAGACCAAGGCCCAGGTGATGAAGCCTCCAGTACTACATCTTGGGGAGCAGAGGACCCTACCAGCCATTCATGCAGCTATTTACCACATCAAAGGTTATTAAAGATAAATCTTAACTACTATAGGAGAAATACAAAAGAAGGATACTATTAGAAAAGAATAAGACTAAACATTAAGACAAGCTAATTCTAATATCTAAAACTAATCTAGAAATTACTATATCTAATATAGGTCTAATAGATTAACTCAAAAAAAAAGACTATAATTATTCCTTAGAAGAAGCTTATTTTATCTATAGAGAGAGATATAGAGCTGTAAAGAAAAGCGCTATAGAGATTTTTTACTTGGAGAAATTTACTACCATTAATTTCTACCTATACCCTCCCGAGGTCGTCATACCTACATATGTAATTTCTGTCAATGTCTACTGCATATGACTTTGAGGGTAAAAATTCGTTCAACCTCATCACTAGGGAACTCATCATTGTCGTAGTGCAAAAAAGCCCGCGACCACTACTGATCTCTCTCCTTAGAAGGAAAGGACAGGTTCCTTCGCCAGGGGCTGGCTTTGAACCACCTAAGGAAGAACCCAGACACCAATAATGACATTGAGATTGGTCCAAGCCGACAATATATACTAGCTTCTTTAACAATCTTTACGAAAGATCTGATCTTCCATCGTTTCGGAGATAGGAAATAAATGAAGGAAATTGATATAAACCACATACATTCTAAAGAGTACTCATAAGGCCATTAATTATGTCGCTCCCATACGCCAACCTGGCTCATCGCAAAATCCCAAAGAAACAGACGCGCCACACAACTACCAATCAATCGACTTGGCCGGCTGCACCGCTGGTGCACGAGTCAAGAAACCATCAGTGATCTTCTTCCCCTTCATACCCTTAAACTTCTTGTCAACCTTATGGAAAGGATCCTCCGCCTCGCCCTTGCGCACTTTCCACTTCTCCGTCCCCAAAATCGAATCCAACTCCTCAATCGGCGGGAGTTTGATATATACCCAGCCATCGTCCCTCTCCTCAACAGGGAACGTAGCAATATTCATGCTCTCATCATTCGAGCACCGACCCGCCTGCTCACCGTTGAGCTCGAAGTTGCGCTTGTGATACGGACACGACACCCAATATGTCCCGGCATCATCATCGCCGATAAGACCATCAGAAAGAACAAAAGCTCGCTTGTGCGGACACATCTGCTGCGTCGCATAGTATTTGCCCTTGATCTTGAAGACAGCAAGCTGCGTGTCGCCACGCTTGATATTCGCCGATGAGACCTGAGGTGGCTCGTCGGAGAAATGATCTGCTCGGACAACCGGCTGCCAGGAGACACTTGACCACTTGTGGCCTTTGAAATCCTCCCGCTCGGCGGAGTCCTTGGGCCAGTATGTCGGACGTTGCTGAGATCGTTCTTGGACAACTTCCACTGTCTCGACAGTTTCGTCTGTGTTTGAAAATTGTTGGAAAACTTTTCGGCGCTTGGGGTCTTTGACGGTCTCGGTCCACTCGCAGAAATAACTATCGACTAGTTCGTGCATTTGCTTTTCCATGTCGGCGCAGATTCCTAGTTTGTCATCCACGATCACTTCTTTGAGGTAGTTGATTCCGCCGGGGAGATTCTCGATCCATCGCGCTGTTCGCTGAAGTTTGTCCGCGGTGCGAATATAGAAAATCAAGTAACGGTCGATTATGGGCATCACCATCTCCGCTGGTACATCTGTAACAAGGAGCTCGGCGTGTCTGGG